CCATCTAAAAACAGGAGTTGTTCAAATCAATTTAAAATGTGCCTTTAATGTAAAATATATTTAGCATACCGCAGTTATAGAGAAATAGGCTATCGGAACATATGTGCATTTTTTTTTCTAATATTAAAGGCTCGGGGGTGAGGGGTGCTAGAGAGACAACAAGTTCCAATAAATTAAAGTTTCCCCTCTGACCACTGACCATAGATTGTTGTTATGTATGTTAAACACGTATTGATTAAAATGAACTAATGCCCACTACTGTAGTAGTGCTCCGTATGATAGCGAAATGGAAACGGAATTACGTTGGTGGAAACCTCAGAGCTATATGATAATACCGATATTTGGTGAATGCTATCGTTACGTCCAATGCGATGACGATAAATCGCGACAGGTATACATAACAATATCATTAAAATGCTTACAAAGGTACTCATGGTAAATTGAAGACATGTTGGCAAATGAGAGAGAGAGAGAGAGAGAGAGAGAGAGAGAGAGAGAGAGAGAGAGAGAGAGAGAGAGAGAGAGAGAGAGAGAGAGAGAGAGAGAGAGAGAGAGAGAGAGAGAGAGAGAGAGAGAGTAATTTTTCTTTCATTTTTGTTCGAGTTATGGACATGTGTGCTCAGAATTTTTGAAAATTGCTTCATAGCACATGAAATGTAATCATTTAATTTTATTATAACCAGATTTTAATGAGGCCAGCATTATTTAATATACATGATCGTGAACTGATTTTTATTTTGACCGATATACGCCTTATAGCCCAGATTTACTCGTTCTTCAGACCGTTGTTTAATAGCTTTTATTTTTTCTGTTTTTACGTCTAAAAAATTTTACGGGTAATTGTGAAACTACAGTTTTAACTTTTCAAGTATGGTTTAAATGCAAGTTCGCTGAAAATAGTAATATAGTTTACAAATGTAGACCATGCAATGTTGACGGAACAGAGGATGAGAAAAGGTCGGGTACTTAGTGTGGCAAAATTACTAACGCAAAATTTCGCAACTTCCCTTATTCGAACAGCTTTCTTCTGCTCCTGTTCATCTGATTCACGTTACCGTTATGGAAAATGTTATATGGTAGAACATGTTTAGAATTGTGCATGTGTTATTCAAGTCATGAAACACTGACAAATAACAGGAAGGAACGTTGAGGAATTAACAGGGAAAATGATAGTAATAAACCATAGTGATATTGAAAATTCAGTATTTTTTCTCTCAAGAGTTCTGCCCACTCATAAATAAATAAACACGTCAAGAAATTTCCAGAAATTCAATCTACGGTATTCATCTTTTACATACTATTCTAAAATGATTGAACCAGTCATTCTCAAGGATACAATTGATAAATAAAAATTGTTGGACCAGTCAGACCATAAAAACTAAACTGCATTGAATTTAACAGACATTAAAAAATATGATAAGGGCATACGTTAGGTATGTTATGATCGCAGATATACAGATTTGTTAAATTTAAAGTGCAGCTTGAAGAGTTCGTGCGCTTTTATAATGTTAATCAACGCTCTTTTTGCAAAAACAGATATAACTTATGGGAAACAAAGATTCAAAAAAGCATATGGGTACTCAGAACATAACACAGTTGTTTAGAATTAATGATATAATTTGGACATAAATTTGAAATAATTCCCACGTTTATAAGCATTTTAAAATGTTGCAAATTGTCGAAAATAAAGGTTCAGTACCCATTTTAGACGATAATCCTCCTGCCTTGTTGTTCACTACTAATGAATAATGTATTAGGTATAAACATTGCATGAAGATTCTTTATAACATGCTGGAATAGTATTTGACGCATATTTAATACGATAATGAAAGACTAATTGCTTGCAGAAATATAAATCAATGTTACGAACAAATTAAACGGGGGATCTATTTATAAAAAAAAAATACGAGCTGAATTGAAAGAATGATTAACTGATCAACAATCATACATATTGCACAACAAAGCGAGAACTATACAGCAGTAGATACAAAATTTTGACTGCTATAGATAATTGTTCGAAATACTCTTAAGCTGAAATATATACACCAGAATGATACGCATATACATTTAGAGCAATATTCAAAGAGCGAAAACTGTTACAGTTTGATGTTGAAAAACACTTATGAATTTGTTTGATAAAGGGAGCATTAAACATTTTTCATCTTAGGGGCCTTCCATAAATGACGTCACACACCTGAGGAAAGGAAGGTCATACATTTGTGAAGATGTGTGACAAGGGGGAGGGGGTGTTTAAGAAATGTGACGTTGACGTCATATCAAAATGCGCAACCTTAAATAAAAGTTCCACTTAATTTTCATTCTTATTTTTTTATTTTTGATCCACACTGTCAGAGTGCAGCGCCACACTAAATACATACTACAATGACAATAAAGCGATTTAAAACGTTAATTTTCAAATAGGAAATACGGCTTTTGGGGGGCGCGCAGAGATTTGTGACATCATATTTGAGAGGGTCTGACTTTTTGTAACGACGTGTGACGAGGAAGGATGGGGTTCAAAAATCGGCAAAAATCGCGTAACGTCATTTATGGATGTATCCTTACTAAAAATAAAATATATGTAGAGGAAAAATTTAATAGAACTCTAAGGATTATAATGTGGAAGTATTTTATACAAAATGAAACAAGTAAATGTGTTGATGTTTACCAAAGTTAACTGACATATTCAATGACACTCATCACAGATCAATATACATTACCCTAGCTGAAGCAAGCAAGACTGACAACATGTGAAAAATATGCTTAAAAATCGGTGTTGCTATGCAGCTATCCACCCTCCAAGCAATTTTTTAAATACAAAACAATATTTGTCTGGCCAACATTAATGGGAAGCGAGACATAGCATTTATTTTACTTAAGGTTTTAGATAGTGTTCTTTAGAAATGCTTGGATATACAGTGCTGAAAAAGGATGCCTTTCTAAATTTTCCGAGGAATTATTAAGAATCGGGAAGTAGTTTTAAGGTATCAAGTTGTTTGCAAGCGAGAAGACTAGAAATTAGATGATATAGAAAACATGACTTTTTTTTAGCGAGAGTTTTCTCCTTATGGCAGAGATGTTGCCGAACAGATTGGATGAACACGACGGATGAACGATGAAAAGTGCACTAGTGAAATGGAAAGGATATGATGTACCTTTTACATTTTGGAACCGGCCATTTAAAAAAAAATGGGAAGCACAATACACATTTCGCAATATTAATAAGAATTAAACATTCAAGCTTTTTTTTAAATTAAAAATAATAAGTTTCTAGAATGTGATAATTTTAAAGAAAAAGGTGCATAAGAGCACAAGGAAGTTAATACATAGACGATATATAAATTCGTTTTGATCATGAACACCGAGTAAATGTGTACTTGATGCTTTGTTGCTGGTGCCTTTTTGACTTGAGCCACATTGGTTGTGTAAAGTCTACTTTGTGTGTGTGTGTGTGTGTGTGTGTGTGTGTGTGTGTGTGTGTGAGAGAGAGAGATTTGGATTTTTAATGTAGCTTTAAACAGCGTTTCAGTTATACCGCAATAATTGACCTTACTCGAGATGAGAGATCGCTCCGCCTAACAAATCACGATGTATAATGTCCTGCTAACCTACGACAAACATGCAGTATTTCGCAAAGAAGTATGTTTCAGCTTGAGTAATAGGTATATTGAAAATAATTTGTATTATTCTTAAAAATGTAAACTTTCAAAATTGCGTAAATTATACTGCAGTAGACAATATTTATATTTGTAGTTCAAGTTTGTATAGTAATAATCTTAGGGTTTATTTCAGTAAATAATAAAATTAAATTTTAAAGCTACTCTAGAACTATTTCATGTACTTGGAAATTCGCTCCAGAATATGGTTTTGTATTTAATATATAACCTTATCCTTATTAATTGTATATGATTTATGTTTAGCTGCCTTGGAAAGAAATGAATTAAAAAATAATAACAAAACCGTAAATAATTACTGTTAAAAAGAATACTGTTGTACATAATAATTTTAAAATTCTATTATGTTCTTTCGATGGAATTTTGATCAGTAATGTCTGTTGATGTATATATTTAAATTTATGCTTAATATATCGGTAGATAATTATCTGAAACCACTGTTTTCTTTTAATATTATTATTATTATATTCAGTTCAATGAGAAAGTAAAGAGTCACTGAAGTGTTTGAAAGATCAAGACGATAATTCATTGTTTTTAGGACAAGCCAACAATAAAGTGTAAATTTTCAAACTTAAAATAAATGTAATTTGGATTCATTTGGGTTCAGTGCTTCCCATACAAGAAAACAAATTCTATACATCAAAACCCTAAAGTTGGAAGATTCTCCACCCGTATTCTAGCACTTATTTTTACATACATTTTTCAATTTTTTAATTCTTTTTTTGTGGGAAGGCTTCAAGACATTGACGGGACATGCTTTTTTCTACATACATGTTATACAAACAAACATATAATTGCCATCAGTTGTTTCCATATTCAGCTGATCATGCACGTGACCACAAAAGCGTCTTTATCCATCGAAGTTTTGTCTATGTTTCGGGAAAGGAATAAATCTAATTCCTCCATTTAGACAATCTGGATATGGATAGTCAGAAATACAAGGCTCCTACTGCCTTCGTTTCACCCTTATTGATTGAGAAATCAAGAACAAATTTTAATTACTTATCATCATCAATTCATTTTATTGTCACAATCAGCTTGCAGGAGGAAAAGGGTTGACGAGAGCAATGAATGGAGGTGTGTCTAATTTACCTTCTCTGATTGGCCAATTGATCAGAATGATTGACAAGTGGCGATAGGTCCATTTCTGCACTGGGGAAGTTCATAGTGATGTCTAGCATTGGGGCATCGTGCCGCTGACATGTAGCATAATGTCTCATCTAGTCACATTATCCTGACACCAAGCCTACCAGTTGTAACATGAATCGTTTAATGCTGAGAGACAATCAAGGTAGCTGCTATTACCATTTTTATAAATTTTAGGTATGGCTCGATCTGGGTTCGAACCAGCGACCTCCCGCATCCGAGGCGGACGTTCAAACCACATAGGCCACCGGAGCGGTTCACTTCTTTGGAGTGTCGGTGTATTATAAATTAAATTCGGCAATGGAAATGAGACTACCAATGAAATAATCACATTGCACAACTACCCAATACTGTTCAAGATTTCATTAATGACTTTAACATCAACCATCATGAATAATTCAACATTTTTTTCATGCGTTCATCACTCTCTTCATAGAAGAAATTTTCTAAGTTTATATGTTTTCAGTTGTTAGCGTGTATTTAATGTTTACATAGTGAAACATTTTCATTGGTGCTTGGAACCGCAGTGTCTCAGTACTTAGTGTGCCGGATTCCACGACCGAAAGAGTATGAGTTGGAATCACACTTGGGCAATTCACTTTACTTCAATAGCCTTGGCACTAGATAGCCTATGTGTGCTGTTGTACTGTATGACACACTAACCAAACTAAGGATTAGATTTATTAATGATGGACTTGGAGGTTTATGATCAGTAGGAAGACCGTCTTCACTGACGCTTTCAGATCAAGTCACCTTTTGAAACCAATAGACGGAACAGAGAACATTGTCCTCGTAATATCTAAATTTATGTTTTGTTCTAAAATGCATGTCAGATTCTACTTCTCATATTGTTCATTAATCACAGACCTTCGTAAGTAGTATTCTTGTTTCTTAGATTCGTTGATGCCTTCTCGGTTTTTTTTTTCTCATTCAGTTTGTACTCATCGGCGTTCTATATTTTAATTTCTCCATTTTCTCACGAATTCATTTTGGCAAAATTTACATTCCTTTCAGTTTGGCTGAACTCAATTGTATATTTAGTACCATTTATTTAGCTTCCTAGTTTTTGATATACGTATAGGCCTATCGAGATTCGTCTTTGTACAAATGCAATTTTGACAAATGCATTTCAAATTATTGGTTTTTAAAAACTATTCAAAGTAGCATTGTTGGATTGTATTCTGCACACGTTGCCTTAATCGCGACCACGGCACCTTGCAATTAACCTTTGTTCCGAGTTAGATATTTTGAGTTTAATTTCCCCAATAACCTTGCAAATAAATGTAAGGTGAACAATAGACACACAATCGAAAGAAAACTCTTCTTTGAAGTAGCACCTTAGGTTGATAATATTTTACAGAATATGTGAATAATTCTGTTTAGAGTGCATACAGGTAAGTATATATGCCCAGTCAGATTAAAATCGGATCTCCGCGGTCCTATATGAAGATCTGACAGCGACCGCTAAAGGGTCATTTTCTGGTGACCGATGTTATTACCATAATCACTAATTTTATCAACCAATCGTATGGAGTCTTATATCTTAGCATTTCGATTCTGAGTAGTTTTTAATCAGACTGGATATATGCCTATTCTATCGGCACGCACCCTCACACACGGGTATTAAGACATGAAAGATCATGATACAGATTTACATATACATGCCAAAAAACTGTAGTGATACTTATATATATATATATATATATATATATATATATATATATATATATATATATATATATATATATATATATATATATATATATATATATATAATGTTGGGAACATTAAAGCGTGAAATATAAAAGAAACTAGGAAATGAACACTTCCACCCATGAGAAATAACAAAATTAGGTACAGAAATTAGTCAAGCATTTGGAAGTGAATCCTGTCTAACATATGGTGACATGCATTTGCACTTTCATCCTTTGTACATACAGTGGCATGCATTTCGACGTATATCCTTTTTCGTGCATATGGTGATATGCATTTGCGTGTATATCTTTCGTCTTGCATATAATGATATGCATTTTCACGTATATTCCTTGTCATACATATAATGGCATACGTATATCATTTTTCTTTCATACAGTGCATTCCATTTGGACGTATATCCTTTGTCTTATATAGTGTGAAATGCGTTTTCACGTATAAACTTTCTCTTGCATGTAGTGACACATTTTCACGTATATCCTTTGGCATGCATCTGTTGACCTGCATGTCAAATATGCAGTAAAGACGGAAGTGTATATACCACAACATGATAGAGTGATACATGAAGCTGCAGTGAAGTGAACCACCTCTTTGCATTTAAAAGAGAAATAACTTATACTGTAGCCTAGTACATGTTTTGACAAATGCATGTTATATTTGCTATAAAGACATACAAGAACTTTCCATGATACGAAAAATGGAAAGTGAAAATATGGTGAAGTGGAACACCCCTTCCTGTAAAATATGTCAATATATAAAGTCAAATAATTAATAAATATAACTTATATACAAATACAGATATGATTTAAAACAAATTGCATGCTACAATACTTACGTGTACAGCATATTTGTTACGTAGATAGAACTTTCACGGCAGAAAAAGTGATGAAATAAATTTAGACAAAATCAAATGTTGTGATAAACACCTACTCCTGATAAATTGACAGATCTGCTTGAAGAAAAAAAAAACACACACAGAGACACCACTTAATTCTTTCGGAGGAAAAAATTAGCATATTATGGCACCATTAACGGATTGCAGATCAGTGAAGTATCCGTAAGAATCAGGCATCTGGTGAGAACAGACCATGTTGAAAATGCATGGACATGAATGCATTTGATATTCACCATCATTTCCATAGCAACAGAGTATGAAGACCTGCCGACTCTGAAAGTAAGTTGCTGTAGTTTCAAAAGCTCGGGATTTTTTTTTTTTTTTAAAGTACGGGATATACAATTGAAGGCAACATTTTACTCATGTCAGAGCTATGTCTTAAAGTTTATTTAGGGCTTTGAACAAGAGGACCGTTGATGATACGTGTGTGTGATTTGGATTTTTAACGTAGCTTAAAAAAAATTTCAGTCATATCGATACGATGACTGCAGTGTGACAGTTGATAGTGATGTATACACTTGGGCATCATGTCGCAGATATGTGGCATGATGTCCCACCCAGTCACATTATCCTGACACCATGCCGGCCAGTCCTAGTACTAACCTCTTAAATGCCGAGTGCCGAGCGAGGCAGCCGTTAGTACCATTGTTTTAAGGTTATGGAATCACTCGGCGGGGACCCACGACCTCCCTCATCCGAGGCGGACGCTCTAACCACTAGACCACCTGATCGGTTCGCTGAGGATATGGAAAATATAGTTAGTCTATGTCATGTATTGTCATTCAAGCACATGATAATAAATGGAATACTTTTTTGGTCTAGGGCAGGTATGTATGCATTGTCCTTCAAGCCCCTGATTATAATTGGAATACGTTTCTGGCCTATGGCATCTATGGTCATTCAAGCACTTGATAACAACTGTTATACATTGTGGTTAATGGGAGGCATTGTCTTTCAAACACTTGATAATAATTGGAATACGTTTCTGGTCTGTAGTATGTATTGTCATTCAAGTGACTAATAATAATAATAATAATAATAATAATAATAATAATAATAATAATAATAATAATAATAATAATAATAATAATAACAATAATAATAATAATACTTTTATTCAAGCGTAAGATAATAATTTTTATGATACGTTTCTGGTCTATTGGATGTATTGTCGTTCAATCACCTGATAATAATTGGGGTACGTTTCTGGGCTACGGGATGTATGGTCATTCCGGTTCAAGCACCTGATAAATATTGGGATACATTTCTGGTCGATTGGCTGGATTGTCATTCAATCAAATGATAATAATTGGGGTACGTTTCTGGTCTTTGGGATGTAATGTTACTGGAGTATCTGATAATAATTGGGGTAAGTTTTTCACTAACGTTGACATTTTGAATTTCAATAACTTAGTGCAACTTAAAAGACGGGGAGGAATGCAGCTCGCCTAATGAGTAAATTGTGTAAATGGCCAGTAAGACATCTACATTGAATAGATGTTTAAACAATTTTTTTTTGTAGAGTTTCTAAGCATTATCCGTATTGGACAGACGGCCTTCAACCTGAGGTTTTGACTCGAGTCAAACAAACCGTAATTTTCGGACGATAAATTGGGATTGGTCGGGTAGTCTTTTCATTTGTGGAGAAATATTACCGACAAATGGAAGGTAAATGGTTGCAGGAGAAACACTTTACTGGTGACGGTGAACAATGCAGTTATTAAGGCGATTGGATAAGCACGCGTAAGACTAAGCCTTTGGGCAGATTTGACTCAAAAACTATATCTGCCACTTACACGCAGCTCAAGCTGCTCGGGCGAGAGCCGATCGAAGGAAGTCATTTAGTCTCAAGCAAGAGACTGTAGACTGGTCGGTGTTGCTACATGATGACGATCGCGATGCTGGCTTCTTCCACCGGCAAATGGGATAATGTATCACTAATTAGATCATAGTACTAAAGAAAAACGGAACTTTATTCTCGTTTCATGGTGTTGCTAATAAGGCCACAGTGTCTCGATATTTAGATAACTAATTGTTCAGACAGTGCAATAGGGCCATGCTGTTATTGTTTCTTCAATGGTGGACCCAGGAGAACCATGCCAATTTTATGGAATAGAGTTCTGAAATGTTGTTAATAATGTTTCAATTGGTTTGACTTTGCATGAGAAAACCAGTGAGATTGAAAAGGAACAAAAAACAAAGAAGAAAAAAAGAAAAACAAGAAAAACACGAACTAACAACGAAAAAAATCCACCATGATATTAACGTTTCAGCCAAACTGAGATCACAATGATTAAGATAGTGACGTCACATAATAGAGATAAATATTGTAGGAAAGGATAACTGCGTTTATTTTTTTTTTATCTGCTTGCTTGCGATTTGAGCAGATAATTTAAACAAATATTATGTAAGCACTGTTACGAACATCTGGCAAAAGTTTAGGGAAAAACTCTAGGGTGAATCACTGCCGGTATTGATTGATTTTAGTACCCAAGCCAAGGAAGACGGTAGAGATATTACTAATATTAGTACTAATGGGAAATGTGACTGGCAGTGATGAATTGAAATCAGTAATTCTTAAACGGGGCCAATATTTAGTTGTTTTTTTTTTAAATCATATAGTCAAATAAGAATGTTTAACAACAA